CATAGCCACCCCTCCTTGGGTTTCTGAGGCAGTATCACTACGGAAGTAGATTGCCCCATCTTCCTTCTGAGGAGTGGCTGGTGGGTTTGAACCGCTGGCCTTTTGGTTAGCAGTCAAGTGCCTTACGCACTATGTTACCAGAGCTCCCATATGCTTCTTAGTAGTAAGTAATTAATGTTTAATGATATTTTGGGGAACATATTAGGCATTTAAAAAGATGACTAATAGTACTCTTCACTCAACAGTAAAGGGCATCTTTGCTGAGATTTATCATATAGATTCAACTCATAGAGACCCCTCCTTGGGTTTCTGAGGTGGTATCTCTACAGAAGTAGACTGCCCAGTCTTCCTTTCAATGAGTGGCTGATGGGTTTAAACCACCAGCCTTCTGGTTAACAGTCAAATGCCTTAGGCACTATACCACCAGAACCCCTAGAATATAAAGGACTGGATAGAGAAAAACTTAAGAGCCCTCTCCATGCTCTTCTTGTAGAAAACGGGTTGCCATTCCCAATGGGTAAGGAAGACCAGAGAAGGACTCAGAGAGGCAAGGATAAATGTGAATTCTGCTTGACCCTAAGCTTAGAGAAAATGAATTTAGATAAACATTTATAACTGATATTCATAGCTTTTATTATTAATAAGCAATAAGTTCATGTACCTATAAAATTCAAATTATCAAACATGAAAACCAACAGCATTTTAGTTGTATTAGTGCAGGAATATTTCATACCTGACTCTTGTTTGGTTTCATCTTCATGGACCAAGAATCCCATGTGATAATTCCCCACTTGTTGTAAGTAATTTTTTTCCAGTTCACAAACTGGTGGATAATGAGTGACGAACAGGGTTAAGGATTTCACCTAAAGTAATAAAACATATAATAAATGTGAATTTATTTTTAATTTTTATTTTAATGAAAACTTTCCCTCAACTTTCTATTTTGAAAAAATCCAAAAATTCATAAAAGTTGCAAGAATAGTACAATGAACATCGATACAGTCTTTATTTAGAAAACCAATTGTTTACTGAATATTTTGCCATATTTTCCTTTCTTCCTTTCCGCTCACAAGAGCATACTCAAAATTTTTTCCTGAGCCATTTGAGAATTAGATGCAGACATCATGACTTCAGTTCTAGATTTTATGCTTCATCATCTAAAAACAAAAAGCATTCTGCTATCTAACCAGAATAAAATTATTACACTGAAAAAAGTTAACACTGACATCATATTACTATTATCTAATCAAGTGGACTCCAACTCATAGTGACCCCTCCTTGGGTTTCTGAGGCAGTATCTCTACGGAAGTAGATTGCCCAGTCTTCCTTCCAAGGAATGGATAGTAGGTTTGAACTGCCAGCCTTCTGGTTAGCAGTCAAATGCCTTAGGCACTATACCACCAGAGCTCCTTATTATCTAATAAACACTCCATATTTCAATTTCTTCAGCTGTTCTACTGTTCTTCATAACATTTTTTTAAAATCAAGGATTATCCAGTACACTTAGTCATGTCTCTTTAGTTTCCATTAATCTAAAGACTTCCACAGCCTTTTCTTCTTTGTCTTTTATGACATTAACATTTCTGAAGTATCCAGGATAGTTGTTTTGTATAATAATCCTCAATTTGGATCTGTCTGATTATTTCCTCATTATTAGAATCTGAGTAAACATTTTTCCACGAATATTTCATTTATATGTAGGTGATGTACCCTTTTCAGAGCTCTACTGATAAAGTTAAGGCACTCAGCTGCCAATCAAAAGGTCCATGGTTCGAAGCCACTAGCCCTTCCGCAAGAGAAAGATGAGGTAGTCTGCTTCAGTATAGATTTACAGTCTTAGAAACTCTATGGGGCAGTTCTACTCTGTCCTATAGGGTTGCCATGAGTTGGAACCAACAAAACGGCAGTGGGTTTTTTGGTACCCTTTTTCGTGCATTACATCAGGAGGCACATGATGTTAATTTGATTCAGTAGTGGTGATGTTACGTTTAATGATTTGGCTTAAGTGGTGTGGTAGTTAAGGCTGTGTGTCAGCTTGGCTGAGCCATGGTTTTGAGTGGCTGGACAGTTGGATGTAGTTATTCTCCATGATGAGATTGTAATCACCTCCATGGTGGAATCTGCTGTGAGCAGCTAACTAGTTGCCTTTGGGGTGTGGCCTGCTTCCAGTCCATAAGGAAAAGCTTTGAGAAAGGTCTCTAGATTTTTGGCACATTTCAGAGCCTGCATTTGGCCAAGCCTTCATCTCCAGTTCCTGGACTTGAACTAGTGGCCTCCTGTGTTGCTGGCCTTGGGACTGTGCCATATTCCCTGCCCACCTTGGGTTCATCATCCTCAGCAAGCAGCTGCCTGAGTCAGAAGTTTCCAACTCCAGTTGGCCTAGAGCTACAGGCAGAGCTGAAGCTCAAAGTCAAGGGGCCTTTACCTAGGCCCCAGAGCTGGCACTCTGAAATAAGACTTCTAGCATCCTAAACTCTTAAGAAAATAAATTCTGTTTGTTAAAGCCACCCACTTATGGTATGTCTGTTATGTTGTTGTTGTTATGTGCCATCGAGTCAGACTTGACTCATAGCGACCCCTCGTTGGGTTTCCTAGGCAGTATCACTATGGAAGTAGATTGCCCCATCTTCCTTCCGAGGAGCAGCTGGTGGGTTTGAACCGCCAGCCTCTGGTTAGCAGTCAAGTGCCTTAGACACTATGCTACCAGAGCTCCCATGTCTGTTATAGCAGCCCTCAAGAACCAAGACAAGTAGGTATCCACAAAATTTCATCACTGACACCTTTCCTCTTTGTAATTAATAAATAACCTTTGAAGCCATACTTTGAGACTGTGTGAATATCCTTTTCTCCAACAAATTTCTTCCAATGGTTTTACAGCCTGTGATTATTGTTGTCTCAATCAGTGATTATTATTGTCTCAATCAGTTATTATTATGGTTATTAAATGTTGATTCTTAAAAACATTCTCCCTATAATTAGTTGGCATTGTGTAAAGAAGAGCTCCCTACTCTATCCTCATCAATTTAAATTTATTTTTGTTTTATTAATAGCAGTATGAATTCATGGATTCTTTAATCAACATTTAAAAGCATAAATTATTATGTATTCTAGAAATCTCATATTGAGGAAAGTTAACATCATCTCTATGCCTAAAAATTAGTTGTTGTTGTTGTTCTTGTTAGGTGCTGTAGAGTTGTGTCTGAGTCATAGTGACCCTATGTACGAGAGAACAAAACGCTGCCTGCTGTTGTGCCATCCTCATAATCCTTACTATACCTGAGCCCATCCTTGCAACCACTGTGTCAATCCATCTTGTTGAGAGCCTTCCCCTTTTTCATTGACTCTCCACTTTATCAAGCATGATATCCTTCTCCAGGAAATGGTCCCTTCTCACAACATGACCAAAGTAGGTGAGACGAAGTTTGGCTATTCTTGCTTCCAAGGAGCAGTCCAGTTGTACTTCTTCCAGGATAGATTTGTTAGTTCTTTTATCGGTCCATGGTACTCTCAGCATTCTTCTTCAACATTACAACTCAAAAACATCAACTCTTCTTCGGTCTTCCTTATTCAATGTCCAGCTCTCACATGCATATGAGGCAAGTGAAAATACCATGACTTGGGTTAGGCACACCTTAGTCTTCAAGGAGATATCTACGCTCTTCATCATTTGAAAGAGGTCTTCTACAGCAGATTTGGCCAAAGCAATACGTTGTCTGATATCTTGACTGCGGCTTCCATTGGTGATGACTGCAGAAGCAAGTAATATGAAGTCCTTGACAATTTCAATCTTTTCTCCATTTATCGTGATGCTGCTTATAGGTCCAGTTGTGAGGATTTTTGTTTTCTTAAATTGAGATGTAATCCATACTGCAGACTGTATTCTTCAATCTTCATCAGTAAGTGCTTCAAGTCATCCTCACTTTCAGCAAACAAAGTTGTGTCGTCTGTGTATCACAGGTTGTTTGTGAGTCTTCCTCCAATCCTGATGCCATGTTCTTCTTCATATAATCCAGTTTCTCAGATT